TATATATATATATATATATATATATATATATAATTACCGATTTTATTATAATAATAAACGACAGAAGCTTAACCGCACGTACAAATTGATAATCTTAACCTTCCTAGAGATTCGCGCGGAAAGTCGTGTTACTTCTTAAAGTAGGCGAATGGACTAGAAAGACGCACCATAGTTCCGCACTTTTACCGTCCATCGCTTCGATTGCGTGATTCATCGAGAAGAGGAAATCGACTCCGAAATAACTACGAATGTTTCGCGTGACAACGACGAATACAAGTGAGTGCACGCGAGTTTCTGGACTTGCGTTTGAAATGAAGCGGACCTGAATCGGAAAGGTTTGAAACGTTCTGTGAGTTTCGATTTCGATTCACACGTGTCGCGCGACTTCGCACGTGCTCCCGTGACTAAGTTCGTCCCTATTAGTCGCGAAGATTCGTACGAGAGAAGTAACGAGCAAGTGACACATACGACATTCGCGAGCGATGGGGTTCGACGTGAACCGCTTCCAGGGCGACGGCGAGGTTGACGAGGAGCTCCTGTGCCCTATATGCTCCGGTGTGCTCGAAGATCCCGTCCAGGTAGGACGATTGTACACGCTTGAGCCAAAAAAGGAGCTTTGTCGCGACCTTCCACATAACCTCAATTCTAACAATTTTGCACATTGTTGTGCGAGACATTTATCGAGCATGCAAAGCAAAAAATAACTGCGCGAAAAACATTATGATCTTTAAAGGAGAACAAAATTACAAATCCGTGTTTTCTCGAACTTTGGTATTTTTCCGCTTTAGTAGAACTTAACGAGAAACTGATATACTTTTAACAAGTTTGATAGCTTTACTTGTTTTAAAGCACTTTGTAATGATATATGAAAAGAATTTCCCATTATTATTATTGATATTATTGTTGTTATTATTATTAGTACTATCAAAGTAACAATAATTATGCGCCAAGTTTTCATTTCAGGTTAGACCTAACTGATTAATATAAAAAAAATAGATCTGATGAAAACACATAGAAAATATTTGTTTATATTCTTTAGTTCTCTTACAATTATATCCTAAGATTACATTTGCAGACATTATTAATATTTTAGAGAAAGATCCAGAATATTATTTACTTTATCGATTTCTTAGGTTTATGAATCTGTAGTTATATTATACATACCATTATTCTATGTAAAATAATAGGAATATGGACATTATTGGACCCATAATTGGAATTTATACATAAATGTTTCTAGTGATTTAGAATAAATTAATTTAATAAATTTATCTAACAACTTTGCTTTAAATGCCATGATGTTTGAGCATCATAGCTTATTGCTTATATTGGCATTAACAGTCCCTTTTAATATTCAACAAATGTATATAAACAAATGTATATAAATAAATAAAAGTTACTTTGATCTTGAATGACCCAAAATTAGGAGCATTATCTTATTCTATAAAGGTACGCATTCATACTTTACTAAGCATAATATACTGTGATATATATACATAACCATGATATATATATCATGTAGGTTACAATAATCAGCAAGCAAGTAATATATTATAGGCACCAGTTTGTGAGCACGCCTTCTGTCGTTCCTGCATTAACGAATGGATAAACCGTCAACACACATGCCCACTGGATCGCACACCAATTATAGCTAGTCAGCTAAGAGGAGTTCCTCGAATTCTTAGAAACTTGTTGGCTCGCTTGTTTATCAAGTGTGATAATGTCGTGTATGGCTGTTCTGCGGTCGTTAAATTGGATATGCTATCTTCACATCTTGAACAATGTGAATACAATCCCAAGAGACCTATGCTCTGTGAACAAGGCTGTAACTTAATCATTCCTAAAAACGAGCTCAAAGATCACAACTGCGTGCGTGAACTTAGGAATCTGATACAGTCACAGCAGCAGAAAATGACAGATATGAAGCGAGAGATCAGCGAGCATCAATTGCAGATCAACGAACATAAGCGTGAGATTCATTTGCTGAAGGATTTTATGCGAGCGCTTAGAGTATCCAATCCAACGATGCGCGCGATAGCCGACCAGATGGAACGGGACGACGTTGTGAGATGGTCGGCTACTCTTCCACGTGCAAGAGTTACCAGATGGGGTGGCATGATTTCAACACCGGACGAGTTACTTCAAGTATGACTTGTCCATTGGAATTGATTGTTCGAATTCGGATTAATCGCAACGTTTAATGAGCGCTTTAATTGCCTTGTCTTTGCTTGTTACAGACTATGATAAAGAGAACACTATCAGAGAATCATTGTCCGCCTCATGTGATCGACGAGCTGATGGAGAACTGTCACGAGAGGAGATGGCCGCCAGGCCTCAGCTCTCTTGAAACACGACAAAACTCCCGCCGGCAATATGACAACTATGTATGCAAAAGAGTACCCGGCAAGCAGGCGGTATTGGTCCTTCACTGTGATAATACACACATGCCAGAGGACATGATGGTCGAGCCAGGGTTAGTAATGATCTTTGCGCATGGCATCGAGTAAAGTGACGAGACATTGTATACGAATGATGGGAGGTAGTGAATTCTATTATTCACTCTTTCCCATCACTTTTAGCTTGATATATGTTTTTCTGGGTCGATATTCAGATTTTCTGGATCTGTCAGATTAATTTGAGGAACTAGAAACCCAAGGTTTCGTTATTAAAGCTCCATCGTAGATCCATTATAAATATATATATATATATATATATATATATATATATATATATATATATATGACTCAAGATCCATAATAGGAGCTTGCGCGTTTAAGGCTGAAACCCTAAATTGCGTGGTTCTTCGACAATCCTGCAAGTTTTACAACAAATTGCCGTCGGGCACGATTTTACAAACGATGATACACACCGTTGTGTTTTGTGATACAAACGCAATTGTGCAGACGCAATTGCTGCGTGCGGGTCGATCGAGAAGACTGTAAATCAATTTAGTAACTCAACAACTTAACTACACGACTGAAGTAATTCGTATGATATGAAATCGGTCGGTCGTCCATCAGATACCTTGATCGTCCTACCTTCCATCTCCCAACGTCTATCCCCAGAAAAATCCAAATCCATCGAATGTCTGAATCGTTGCACTGTGATACACCGCTTCGGTGAGAAACTTCCTGAAATCGCGTGATAAATGACCGGCCATCTTTCGGTATCGATCGATTTGTACATTTTCGCCGGCGGTCCGTTTATCGTTCGTTTCAGGATCGTTTTGCGGATACTTCAAAGTCTGTGAGTGTTTTACTATAATACTTTAGAAGAGTAAGTCCGAACCGAAGTCGATAGAAGTCTCTCTATCAGTGATCTGAGTACTCGATACGGGATATGCTCGCTACAGATGTGATTCAGCTCTTGAAAATTATGGACGTGTCGGCGTCCTTTTTCCAGAGTTCTTTTACAGAATATCTCTCTCTTCCTTAGTCATATCTTCCGAAACTTTTTTTATAAATTTTTTTTGTGTAAACTGCATGTCATAGACAAATCAGTTTTCATCTTTGTCTCTGCATATCACACAAGTCTTACTAGAGATTTTTGTCAATGACCGTTTATTAAAGCACGCAAAGATACGTTGCAAATAGCTTGTTTTTCTAGATTAAAAGCACGCTTCATCTCCATTTCGCGTAATTGCACAGGTTGTCCTATGATCAGTTTTCTCAAAGAAAGAACAAATATTAAAATTATTATGTCTCAAAGTTATTGAGCAAATATTTATTATCTATTAATAAATTTCTTAACATTTTTAATTTTTAATAAATTTTTTAAATTCGTTAAATTTTTTTAATTATTTGATTTATTAGTTATTAACAACTTTTTTTGTTAAAACACTCCCAATGGGGAAGGTTGATTTAAAAAAAACCCTTCTTCCAGCCTAGCGTATATTTTTTATTTAATATTATAAAGACTGTTTATATAAACATATAGCCTGTTCTTTTTCGCTGCATACCCTGCACTAGTTTGCACTTATTTTCTTCTTTTTCTTCCATATGTTTTAATTTATTTTTAAATTCTGTAAGTATATACTAATTCAGCGAAAAAGAACAGAACTATAAAAAGAAAAACAAACGCCTTCACACGTATGTGATGTTATTTCTTAAGAGATTGTCACATGTGCAATACTGATAATGACGTGTTTTAGAAATTCACTCTTTTTAATAAAATGTTGGCTGACATAAGTAGTGGACATCCTGTCTTTCTTTCTTAATTATCGTTATCAATTATTATCAATTAGCTTCTATTGCACATTACTGATTTATGATAACGTGATGCTTCTCATCTCGCGTGACAGTATACTGGTGCATACAGAGCGGGCTGACAGATTGTTAAAAATTCGACGGTGTAATTTATTTTCACGACATAACAAGAAAAAGAAAGCATATCCATATTTATTAGTTATTTATTTAAAGTTATTCACTCTGAATGTGTTTCTCTGAATGTGTTTCTCTGAATGTGTAATTACCGGCCCGCTCAGTACATCAAATGTCATTTCGCATCAGTTACTTTTAACGCGTCTTTTTCGGAGAAAGTCAATATTAAGTGTAAATACATAGAATGTTGTCAGGAAACGAGAGAATCGTAAGAAGTGTCTTTTGTATATTTTCCTTCAAGTTATACTACTCGATAAGCGTCATTAATTACGCGGTATACCGAACTTGGACATGTAAAATTTTAAGCATAAGAATAAATGTCTAGAGATTGTAGTAAGTCAAATCGACGAACAGGCTGATTATATATATAGATACATATTATAAAATTGTAATGAAAATCAGATTTTGCGTATCATAAGTGATTTAATATACTTTATATATTTTTTTTCTCTTTGAATGTATGGATCAATTCGCAAGTCCCGTCCCAGCTACGTACGACGGAAGAAATATGTTTAAATTGGTGAAATGAACAACGTACGTTATATATTTTCTTTTGTGTCAACAAATATGGCAAGAATGAATGGTATGGTTGTGCATTGTTCAGCAAATGATGCTATTAAATTTCCTCATTTTCTCTCTCTCTCTCTCTCCCTCTCCTCCCTCTCTCTCTCTCTCTCTCTCTCTCTCTCTCTCTCTCTCTCTCTCGATATTATACTGAATATTATAAACTTACCATTGCAGTAATAATTGATAAAATTGTCATCTACTTTGCGATAAAAAATAAGTATTTCTTTTTTCAAAATTTTTCTCTAAAGAGAACTGGAAAAAAGATTATATATGCATCATTTTCTGAATGACAGTTTTGACATTTACATATGGTATTCTCATGAATTACTCTGCGAAAGATGTAATTTATTTTGTTGTTAAGTTGATACTATGATTCTCATTTGCACATACTTTTCACGATTGCACTGGTGTATCTCTTATTTTAGGGATAACTTTGCAACTAACATACAAATGTATTATTTACTTTGTTGCAGCACGATGCGCGATTTTAGTCGATTCACATTTCGCACTTTTGTTCATTACTTTCATATACATTTCTGTAACTATTATGTTTGTTTATTATTAAAATGATAAATCGCTTGAATTATAACTATAATAGAGAAAATGACGTTACGTCTATGTTTTAACATGAGAAGATGAAAAAGTTATTTAAGAATGGTGAATTCTGATATTTATAACATAACAATATTAAGATATTAAGACTGAACAAAAAGAAATTCCCGAAAATGAACTTTTGAGAACTTATTGTATAGAGATTTGGATTTATTTACAACATGTGCCGAGTGTGATAACGCACAAATATTACATTGCGTGTGTATATATATATATATATATATATATATATATATATATATATATAT